TGAATAACGATTTAAAAATGTATTTGCGGTCTCGCTTCGAATATAGTTTACTAAACACTGGTATACATAGAAATAAGAATCATGCATCTTATCACTGCGTGGTAACATATCAATTTATGTAATAAAAAATTTAATGACAAAAAAAATCTGTAATATTGTAAATTTATATGGGACTAGACATATGTTTGATTTTATTGGGTGATCGGCCACCCCAATAGTGCGTCATAATACCCAACCAAAAAAAAACATAACAATTTTCAGATAGCTTTTGAAAGTTCTAAATATCAAGCTCTTTTTAAAAAATTCATGGCTTTTTTTTTTGCTTGTCGAAGTCGAATTTTAGTTTATTTCAATTTCAATAAATTTTAGGAATAATATATTTCCCGAAGACTTTTACTATTAGGTGCGCCATAATGTCCTCCCTTAAGTAGTAATATTAATAATGAAAAATTTAATTTTATAATGCCGTAATGTAATACGTATAGCATATTTAATTATATAGTAATGAATATGGGCAATAACATATACTTTTTTTCTTTTTTATATCATTAAATATGGGTTATGGTGTACATATGGATATGTATAGTTATTTTATTATGCTGTTTTTAAAATATTTTTGTTAAAAATGCAGCTCAACCCGCTCTTTAGTTCAACTTTTGATAACATTCGGAACCACTACAAAGATCAATTCAAAGACTTATCAAAACAAAATTGAATCGATTTGGATGCGAATTTGTCTGTTAAATAGTTCACATTAGTTTTTGCGCATCAAAAACTTTTATATTGCAAAATAAATCGATGTGTAATACTGTAATATAATCAAATGGTTCCTTAATTGTTATGAAGAGCACAACTAAATATTTAGGATTATTTAATTTCAAAAAAAAACATTGAAATAATAAACTCAGTTTAACTTTACCCCTCAGGCAGTTTCAGGCAGTTTCAGGCAGTTTCAGGCAGTTTCAGGCAGTTTCAGGCAGTTTCAGTAAGCTTAAATATATTAATTCACTTTAAGTAATTGTACTATATAAAATTGGTCTTTCTAATTTTTAGTCTTTTGGCAATTATACAAAGTATTCTCACATAGTCTGGTTAAAGATTAGAATCGATGAGTTTCGAGCATTGATTGGTCACAAACTCTAGATTTTCGAGCATCAGTAAAAAATTTTGTCCGATGCTCGAATGTTCATTGAGTTTTTAAAAAATGCATACCGGTAGAAGAATTTAGCATAACAGAAATTTATCAATTGTACCATTATCTCTACATTAATTAATTACAATTTACATGACTTACCGCTGACTTATAATTTGCGATTTATAAAACAACCATGCTCCTAGACATCAGGAATAGTAAAATCAATTGTTTTCATATTACGCTTTAGAAATACCATTCTGCCAAATAACTTTGGCTTTAATAAAGTTCTTTCCTCATTCATAACATTTCCTGTATATGAAAACAAGCGCTCACTTGGTGTTGTAACGGAGTGAATCGTAGGTTTATTTAGTTTATACACGAAAATAACGAATTTATAATATAATGGCATTCGCCAGAGGCGTGACGTTGGTGATTTGGTAAATAATTTACTTTATTAAAAGGGTTTATCAGGGAATTTATTAAATGTGTTATGAAGGGTTTATTGAAATCCCGTAGGATAATCTTTTTAAGAAGGACGAAATGCTAGAGTTTTTATAGCTTTAGCAAGTGTAGAGGGTTCAAGGGGCTTAGGGGTGACTCATATATTACATCGTTAATGACTTTAAGAAAACTAGTTCTAATGTAAGGGGCTTACAATAATAATTTACAACATCATTATAAGAAAAGGAAGGCTTTGCTTCGCTCCTACAGTCATTCATTTTACAGCCACTTCAATTATATTCTAATCTTGATTATCGGTCTTCTTTCATTTCTTCTTACGCGTTTCTTGTTCTTCGGATTTCGCGTTGGTTATTGTTTTATCTTTATTCGGCCGATAAGTCTCAACCGATAAACCAGTATTTCTTGGATCTGTTGCTTCAATCACGGGTTTGCTGTGCCTAATTTCATAGATCCTTCATTTTAGCCCGTGACAGTGTGCTTGTTGCAGGAATTGCAAGAAATTTTCGGGCCATTTCACTTAAAATCGGAAATTGCCGTTTTTGTAAAGATCACCACACCCATTCGTCAGGAAGAGCAAGATAATTTGTAACTTCGTTATTATCTTGGTTTTGTGAGCTTGATGAAAAAACAGATTTAATGAACCCTTTACGGTAAGCTTGCTTTTCATTTCGATTAGTTACAGAAATTAAATAGTGCAGCTCCTTAAATTCTGCATAGCACGTAAAGTTTCTTCAACTTGATTTCGCTCATCAGTCGATAAAACATGTAATCTCTTGCATCTTGGGTCCAATTGAGTTTTTTTAACAATGTCAATTTGAAAAAATTTATTAAATAAAATTTATGAAATTATTTAGAATTAATCAAAAACTTATATATAGTTAAATTTTAATTTGACTGATGCTCGATGATTGGCTGAGTTTAAAACTCAAATGAAGTTTATTTCGATGTTCGAAATTTTCGAATAATTATTCACCGATTTCACTCTAATTCTGATTACTCTGGTTCATGCCTTATTAATTTATATTTGTTATGATTTGAACTATGTGCTTTATCTTGCTTCTTTTGAAACAAAGATCATTTGCGAAGCTTACAAAATCTGCGCTTAATTATCGAAGTTTGTATAGAAAATGTAAAAATATTTTATTTTTTCCCGAAACACCAGATCCAAATCTACAATGTGCTATATATGTAAATACACCAAATATTGTGACCTACAGTCATTACGACCTACGACATTTATTATGACCTACATTATAAATTACAACTCACGACAATACACACATTGTGCTACAACTAGTGATAGGACTATAAGGGTAAAAATTGGTGTAACTTAATCGTTGCACCTAATAATTATTAATAATCAAATTTTTTTAAGAGATCACGGCGTATGACGTTTTAATTTTTAGCACCTCTAGTCCCATCACTAGCTGCAACAGGTTGCGATGGTAGTAATACAGCTGTAATGTAATTGAGGTTGCACTGCCATAAAAATGTCTGCACCTCTAGGCGTAGAAAGTGTTTTTATCAGAGTTAATGTCACTCTCATGTGCTGCTACGCAGCACATGAGAGTGACATTAACTCTGATATAAAAAAAATTTCTTATTATTTTCTTACGTACGTACGTACGTACGTCCAATATTGATGTTACTGGTCATATTATATTAGCATATGAAATTTTTTGTCGTGAAATTTTGCATAAATGATGATATCATTTATGACAAAATATCATGGTAGAAAAAATTTTTACATGATCATATCATATATGAACAATAAAAAAACTTTGGTAATAGTTTAAGAAACATTGGGTATTTTAACTAAAGCTTAAGGTAATTTCGTTGATTTATGTAATTTGATTGGACGAACGTACTGTACGTAGGTACGTAGGTATCTGCATGCAATCTCTGCATATATTTTTCTGCATGTATCGTATTATGATTTTAAAATCAAAACACTCAGAACGACGATTAAAAACAAATTGTCAAAGTTTGTTTAGCGCATAATAATAAGTTATAAATATTTTTTTTAATGTTGTTTGAATTCAGAAATTAATAATTTATATTAAATTTAATATAGAAAGTATGTATAACAGAATTATCCGAACAAGCAACGGTTGTTATGTGTGGATGTTCAACCTCAAATGGAAATTAGAGCATGAAAAAATTGAAGATTATGCAATTATAGCTTTAACTCTTGAATGTGAAAATAAAGCTTGCTTTGTCGAAATTGTATCAATTCAGAAATAAATTAAATGCATGCATGTTTATGTCAAATTATGGACAACATCTCAAGATATTGAAAGGCATGTGTTTATTAATAAAGAATTGACAAAATAGAATTAAATAAAATAAAAAAAAATGGTTTAACGTCGTACGCGTCGGATATAATTTACTTTGTAATCAAGAAAAAAAAACTTATAAATTGCCACTGTCTCTATATGAAACCGTTGTTTATTTTATCCGTTATCACACTCTATATTTTGAACAGCCTCCAACACACATTCATTACCGTTGTTTCAAACAATTTCATCATGGTATTATTACGCAAACATTTTCTTACGCTCATATTCCTCGCGATGGCATTTGTAATGATGGCATCAGCGACACCATCCCTTGAGGAGGCTTTTCAAAAAAGGGGCGATGAACCCGAACCTTCTAGGTAAGGTTTTCTTAAAACCTAAAGAGTGAATATTTAACTAATACGACATATTTGAATTGCAGTGAAACAATCTGCACTACTACCACTACTGCCGATACCATTTCTACGTGCACTACTTCTACAACATCTACTTACTGCGCTCCCACCACTACAACGTGAGTTATACTTTTGAAATATTAAAAAGGAATTTATGCCATATCTAATTGATATATTTTCATGTATATTAAACAGATCAATTTGCACAACCACTTCCACCACCACCTGTCAACCTACTCGTACTTGCGATGAAGATTCATCCCCAAATTTTAAATATAAAGCTACTGATACTTGTAAGGATGGCTACCCAAAAACTGTTGGTATTGAGGATTCTGATACCACCCCCTCCCCAAAACAATCTGTTATTGTCGTTTCGGGTGGTCACAAATCCCCAAGCAGGTCTGACGATATGACGAGCGATTCAGTTGGTTACTATCAAAGAAATTCAGCTTTAATAATAAGCATGCTTATTATATTGGCTTCTATGATTTCCATGATGGCTTAATATTTCCATTTCCGCTATCATAATTATATTATAATTTATATTATAATTTTAATTGGTTTACATTTTAGAACTTAGAATTAATGTGAAATTTTTTTTAATGTTTTTTTGTCATCTGTTCTGTGAACTAGGATGCTCTTATGATTACTTGGACTTATGATCTTTGTTTAAATAAATGACAAATTTTAAAGTGAACATTTATCTAGACTGACTAAAAAAAAAACTTTTTGTCATAATACATCAATTAATCATTTAATTACTTTTGTACGTACGTACGAATGTACTAATTGATTCTAACAGTTTAAGAAGAGAATGTTGCAATTATCACAAAACTTGACTCAATCAATTTGTACCATTGATAATCGAAAACTTGTAATGGAAAATGCTTAAAAGATAGTTGATTAGATTGTTAGCCTTGGCACTTTATATTAATTAATATAAATATCTCGATATACGTTTATATCGGTGCGTTTAATGTATATTCCAGTTCTATCACTCGTAGTAATACAAATACAGAAATAGTTTCTTGTTTATTTTTGTCCCTACTTTTTTTAATTAGTATGAACAGATCTGTTAATAACCAACGCGTGTGTAATACTGTGTCAATAAACATTTTTGAACCAATTAGAATAACTTTACTCGAAATTTATGTACTGTACGTACGTACAAGGCTTAAATAAGTATATATGTCACATGTCTCTCTGAATTTCAAATTAATATGCGTCATTTAATTTATACCGATTGGGATAGATTAGTGGAGCAACCAAAATTCAGCAGACCGACCAAAATTTAGGGTCGGAATAGGTCCGGAGCTAGGCCGGCAT